GGTCACAAAATATTCCCTCAATTTTAATTTCGCCAAATCAATATATTGAGTTAAGGTTGATACAATATAAAGTACTCAAGGCCTGTTCACTTTAGCATAATTTTAGTTCGGTTCAGTTCAGCTTCAATCAGTTCAGTTCAGCTCTTAATTTCATTCTCTCATAAAATATTTTGTTCAGTTCAGCTCCTAATTTCCTTCATTCATAAAATATTCAGTTCAGTTCAGCTCCAATCAATTTATTTCAATCCAGTTTAATTCATCTCCAATCAGTTCAATTTAATTCAGCTCAACTCTCAATATTAATAAAATAATAATAATAATAATAATAATAATAATAATAATAATAATAATAATAATAATAATAATAATAATAATGGGGCATAATTTGATTTGTTATGATCCAAAAATTGAAGACTCACCTTACAGAAGATGGAGAAGAACGGGGTTGGACAGGAAGTTGATACCCTGGAAGATCAATTTCATCCCTAAATTAAAATAACAATATTTAAATTAGCAAAATTAATTCAACAACACAAAGGGTAAATACAAGTTAATCTCTGAGATTCACAAAATTTGTTTATCACATAGCAATTTTGTAAATAAATCAACAACTTTTTCCATAAAAGTGGGTCCTACGGTGATGATGAGTGGATAAAGTTGTTTGATTTATTTACCAAAATGTCATGTGATAAACAAATGTTTCACACATATTAACTGGGGCTTCCTCCAAAACAAACCACTCTATAACTTTATTTAAAAAATAAAATAAATATCGGACAAGAAAGGCTGAAAGGTTAACCATAGATCCATGTCACTGTCACTGTCATTGTTCGTCTTCACACTCTTTGCCTTGCCCTTCATCGTCTTCTCCTTTGTTCCCCTGCTCCCCTCACTCTCCATGAAGAAGGTTTTTTTTTTTTTTTTTTTTTTTTCACAGGGTTTGTTTTTTGTTTTTGGTGGTAATAGACTGATGATAGTCACATGATAAAAGAATCTAATACTAATTAATGTGGTAAATAAGTTTCTTAAATTATCTAATACTACTCGTAGTATATAAAGTGAAAAAGGAAGGTGATAAATTTCACTTTCCTAATTAATTTACTTCTCCTAAACTTTCCTATCTAAAAATAAATACGTAATGTAGTAAATAACTCACGTAACTCAATCAATACTTTTGACCATCCCAGGTAACTCAATCAATACTAATCATCATATCATATCATATCATATAACTAATATATAAAGCTAAACTTTTAGCCAGGTCACGAAATAGTGACACTTGACATTCTAAATTTTCGCCAAGTGTCGCGTCACTTTGGATAGATTTAAATAGATTCATAAGATAAAAAAATTAGTTAAAAATTCTTTTTTCAATCAAATTAGGATAGAATTTAGAATAAGATGGTTAGTTTAGAGTTTTATTTTCGATAAAATACCAAATAATAAACTTATAATTAGGCCACAAGAAAACATCGTATAACATTATAACTTTTCACCAAGAGTCGCACCACGTTGGATAAATATTGATAGACTTTGTAGAAAAAAAAAAGGTTAATTTAGAATTCTATTTTCAATCAATTAAATTGAATTATAATATAATTTTATCTTAAAATTCCATAAACAACCCGAGCATCGCACGGGCACAAAACTAGTAACTAATATATAAAGCTAAACTTTTAGTCAGGTCACGAGGTTGAGACATTTGACGTTCTAACTTTTTGCCAAGTGTCGCACCATGTTGGATAGATTTAAATAGACCTCATAAAAAAAAAAGTTCATTTAGAATTCTATTTGGATATAATTTTAGGATAAAATTAGTTTTATTTTTGATAAAATACCAATATTTCAAATGTACAAATTCAATTATAATTTTATTAAAAAAAATTATTAGATTACAATTCTTAAAATCATATAACTAATATATAAAGCTAAACTTTTAGTCAGGTCACGAGGTTGCGACATTTGACGTTCTAACTTTTTGCCAAGTGTCTCGCCACGTTGGATAGATTTAAATAGACCTCATAAAATAACAAAAAGTTAATTTAGAATTCTATTTGGATATAATTTTAGGATAAAATTAGTTTTATTTTCGATAAAATACTATTTCAAATGTACAAATTCAATTATAATTTTATTAAAAAAATTATTAGATTATAATTCTTAAAAATTAATAAATTAGTTTTTGTATCATAATATTTTTTGGGCAAAGGAAATAGTTCAAAGCGTAAAACATACATTTATAATATATACTAATCGGTTAAAATAATATACTTCATAATCTAGCAAATCGTATAAAGATTAAAAATTTATTTTATAATTCAATAAACAACCCAGGCATCGCACGGGGCATAAAACTAGTCTATTAAAAGACGTTTCTAAAAATGTCGATGTGTCATGTAGCCATTACGCCACATCACCCAAACAACCAACAATAATCCATATAAAAGCATGAGGATAAGGAGATTCGAAGATTACTTGACCATCTAAGTTAATAATCAACTGGGATGTTAATAATATGTAAAAATATGTAAATGCAAAACCACAAGGTTCAATTTTAAAAATTAAAAAAAAATAAAAATAAAAAAAAGGACAACTCAATTTTATTGACAATTTTAATTTTGAAAAGCCTTTAACAAAATTTATTGATTACACATCTACAACACTAGCAACCTAGGACAATGTCTGGGCTACTAATTAGTTGATTGCTACATGTTGATCTTTTATCAACTAATAATAGGAAAAATAAGTTCACAAGTGACAAGTGCTAGTAAATAAACTAAAAAAAAATAGTGACAAGTTTAGGTTTAAAAGATTTAGCAAAGTCGTTTGAGTTGAAAGGGTTAATAAGACCTTTTTTTTTTTTTTTTTTTTTTTTTTTTTTTTTTTGGAAGAAGGGTTAATAAGACTTTGTATCCAAGTTTAATACACGACTAACCACATTCCAATAAAATAAGTAAATTCTAATACATTTAGTTAAGTAAACATTAGGCGAATACAACACATATCAAGCATTAAAACTTTTCTTGAGACAGTAGAAATGTTTTCAAGTAAGCATGTTTGTTTGCTTATATGGCACAATTCGTACTTTAAGGTTAAAATTAAAAAAATAATAAAAAAAAAACCTTGTTACAGCTGCAATCTACTCCTTAAACGTGTTATAAAGTACTTTCCACTAGAGCTGGAAATCTCTGACATACAATGAAAACACGATCGAAACCAGCACAATACAAACGCAAAATTATTGAGAGATAACACAAAATCGATATAATACGATCCAAAACCAACTCGAATATGACCCATTTTGACATATTGATCAAATTATGCATTTATTTTACGTTTTCACCTGTTGATAGTAATACATCAAGTCTTGAACCCGAGACCGAATGGATGGAAGGAGCTAGGGAAGATTTATCTATGTCAAGTTTTCAACATATCTTGCTTTCCATGCCAAGGCCCAAGGGCTATATCCATTGAATGGAATTTTTTGACCAATATAGTCTCATTGGAGTCAAATTCTATTGAGATATTCACACTTGCATTGCTTCACCAACTCCGCTTCACCTACTCTTGCAGTCTTGCTTCTCCACCGTCTTTTACCTGTTTTTAATGCAAAAGCACAACTTTCAGCCTTTTGCTCATAATGTTTACATGCTTCATTTGTTTGTTTTATGTCAAGCTTTAAGTTTAACTTTTGCATTATTATTCACAAATCAAATTTGACCAACTAATATGCTTGTAATTATAATTCAAATATAGTAAAATTAAAATATTGTTCAGTTAGTCAATATGTATGTAGTTTCAAAACTTCAACTTTTCACATAAATGTATGTTATTGATATACCACATATAATCAATATATACTCCGTATTATTAAAACTCATGGCAAGACATGCTACTTTGTCATGTGTCACCAATTTTGGCATATGATGTGTCGTCAAATTATATCATACCATTAATAATTGAAAAACTTCATATATTAAACTACATGTATTAATGTTTAATTTAATTGATAACCTCTTCATATGCATAACACCCTATCTAAATTTCCCTTGGAATGTAACTCCAATCCTTAATAATTACACAATAATAAAGTTTGTAAGATATTAAACACTACTCCATTTTTATTTTGTACATTAATTCATAAAACTGTAGTTATAGAGTAAAAGGATTTTGTGTTGAGTAATATATATTTTGACATCAAATTTATAAAGATTTTATTTAATAAAAAAAAATTATTTTTATAGTCAAACCAGTTCATACAAACAACAAACTACTTAAGCTATCATTAAAAAAAAAAAAAAAAAAAAAAAAAAAAACGCCACTTAAGCTCTCAGCAACAAATAAATTTCGATTCAAGTAATATATTTATAACTAGCTTTTTAACCCGTTCGATGCACGGATTGTTACTAAGGTTATTTTTCTTGAAAAGTGTCAGTGTTGTGGAATTTAGTTAGGTATATATACATAGATATTGTATACGTAGGGTATGAAATGACACATTGGTTTAAGGTATATTTAATTTTAGGAGATGAAAAGACTATTTTATTGTTAATGTAATTAACACTAATTAGTTTAACTTTAATTTATTATATTGAATATGAAACACTCAATTTTCTTATTTAAATTTGTAAGTTTTAGAATCCATAAATATTAAAGACTCAAACATTATTTATATATTTTGTTTTTATATTAAAATGAAAATTTAAAAAGAAAGGATTAAGTTAGGTGACGCATATGAATGGTTATGGTGACATGTGGCTTAGTATATTAAGTTAGGTGACATGTGGCTTAGTATAGATTTGTGGTTTGTGTTTTTAAATACTAAAGTATAGATATAGATATAGATAGATGACATGGGTTTTGATTGTGATTAATACTGTTAACTCATTACAATTTTAAGTTTTTCAATTATTTCGTACTTCATAAGTTCATATGATTTAACTTGTCGTATCTAATTTTTTTATTACTCCGTATTTTATTTTACAATGTCAATTTAGAGCATGTCAATTTAGAGAGAATAGAAAGTTGTATTTTTGTATTAGCGTATACACATATATATACAACCAAAGTGATTAGGGTGGAACATAACACCGACTCATTAGCTATACATAGTATATATTCCATCATACATCTTCACACATTTATTATGTGCTTATACTTTAATAGTCAAATAAATAATCAGATAAAACTAAACGAATACGTATTTCCCTCAATTATTCAGTTCTACCAAAAAAAAAAGCTCTTAAAATAATGAGGCGGCTTCTTTAATTTGTCCTTACCAATAACTTACTTTATTTTAGTTACACTTTCCACACCCCAAACCCTATAAATACCCAATCTATTTTTCATTCTTTACATATCGAATTCATTCTCTTCTTCACTGCCAAATCTTCCAACTAAACTAAGCCTTTTATTCTTCTAAATAATTATCCTTAGCTCTCTTAAATTTATCAGTCCTTAGTAATCATGGGTGTCTTCACATACACATTGGCTGATATAACCAGCCCAGTCGCCGCGTCCCGGTTGTTCCAAGCTCTAGCCATTGACAACCATAACTTTGTTCCTAAGGCATTGCCTCACTTGGCTAAGTCCGTTGTGTTTGTTGAAGGTGATTCCACCACTGTTGGATGCATCAAGCAGATCGATTTCCCCGATGGTTAGTTTATTTTCTTACTACTCTGTATTAATTAAACGTTACCCAATTTTATTGTGTGTGTAACATGCTAACATCTGCTAAAATAACACATTTATATATACATACTTTTTCGTAAATAATTTAACTTTTTTACAAGGTCGACTTTTACTTATCCCAATAATGTACAACTTTAATTTGATCATTATTTTTTTTTAGAGTTGACTTTTACTTTTTAAAATGTACAACTTTGATCATTAATATTATTACATTGATCATTTTGCAGAGGCTCCATTCAAATATGTGAAAAATAGAGTGGACGAGATTGATTCCAACAACTTCTACCTGAAGTACACTTGCATTGAAGGAGATGTGTTCCCTGATACAGTGGAGTACGCTGTGTATGAAGATAAGTATGATGTATCCGAAGCCGGAACCCGGTGCAAGATGTTGGGACACTACCACATGAAGGGAGACAATGTGATGAAGGATGAGGATGTTGAGAAGGCCAAAGAAGGAATCCAAAAGATGTTTATGGCTGTTGAAGAGCACCTCATTGCCAACCCTCAAGTTTATGCTTGAAATATTATCCAAAGTTTTATGAGTGATTTAAGTCATCTAACTACAAAAAATTGGAGCTATTGAGTATGTAATGTGTGATGTTTTGAATTTAATTTTCCTTTGTTCCTTATTTGTGTGGTTTGGGAGAAAAAATAAACTGTGAGAAAAGTATGTAATTGTTGGGATTTGAATTGTGAAGTAAGAGATGTTAAGTTTCACTTACTAGTGAAAAGTATTTTTGTGACTAAACAAGCTATAAAGAAGTAAATGTTGTTCTTAATTATGATTATAAATAAAACTCCTACAATGCATGATTTGTTTGTAATTTTAAAAATAAATAATATTCATAAAAAAAAGGGCTTTCAAATTTAATTTTCCCCCAAATCGAGCTTAATTTGGAACCTTAAGCATCAAAATGATCCCTAACACCTTTAATTAAACTTTTTTTTTTATTGGCACAAAATTGAGAGGAATAAAAAAAAAAAAATTTAATTGGTGTGAAATGGGTCCGCTAACAATAGGATAACAACACGGTCACTATTGATACATAATTGAAAGTTTAAGGTTACGGTGTGTAACTTTCAAAAGTAAAAAATCAACACTAGAGGGTTATACATGACTTAAGTATGATTTTATCATCATATATATCCTATATAAGTGAAAAGGGGTTTTTGGTCATAACTTTCACTCTCTCGAATTATCCCTCTTAACTTTTTTCTTAAAAAAACACAAATTCTTATATGTGTCTGGTCACACGGTGTGATCATCCATCATAGGGGTTACTGTGTGAGTGTTATATAGAGGTTATTTGTTCAATGAGGATTACTTCGCCAGTGTATCGGGTTATTCAGGAGTTACTCAGTCAGTATTACAAGGGGTTATTTTGTTCTTTTACAAGTGACCATATGTTGTGCCAACCTCACACAAGACGCAGCAACCCGACCACACTATATCATGGCCAAGGTTACTTATTCAGAGGTAACCATTATAAGGTTTCGTGTTCATGGATTACCCGGTCAGGGATTACTCTCACACAAAAAACACGCTAAATAAATAAGCCCTGAATAAATAAACAAAAAAAACGCACTACTAACTAAATTCGCCTGACTAAATAACCCCTAAATAAGTAATTTAGAGAAAGAACCATTAAATTATGCAGTACGAATTAAAAAGAAAAAAAAAAAAAAACTGCCAATGGCATCACCAATAGCTTTTTTTGCTCCATTTTCAACAGCTTCAACTGAACTAGGAATTGATCCTCTCCTTCTTAAACCATTAAAAATGGTTTTTCGACACTCCAACTTTGAGCTCAAGATCGCCTATCAAACCCTAATTCATCTCATGAAACGTCAACACTCTCAGGTATTTCTCTTTTTCCGGTTCAATGATGTTTAATTTCCATAACTTTAACTATAATTATTGATTTTTTAAACTTAGGGTTTTTGTAAATTTTCTGAAATTGCAGATTAGGTTTCTTGCGTTTATGATAATTGATGAGTTATTTATGCGTTTGAAGCTTTTTAGAACCCTAAATACTTAGAATTTGGATCAATTGTTAAGTTATTCGATTGGATTTAGAAGAAATCAATCCTTCTATCGCATCAGTTTAAGTTTATCTGAAATTTTAGAAAAATTGAACTCGTCATTTGGATTTCATTATAAACAGCTTGGTTAAGATAAGATTATTGAAGAACACACTTATTTATCAATTCAATTCCCTATTTTACAAGCAAATGCTGCTTGGATTGAGCGAGAAAGGAGAGAGAGGGAGGTGAGAACGCGCAAATGATCTTGAAGAACAAGCTCGAGACGTCGAGGGAGAGGCTTCCATCAGGTATACAACCTTTTTCTCTATCTTTAATGGAGATTATTGTTGTTTGGGTCCAATTAAGCTAATTGGGCCTAGTCATTAAATGATTCAATATATGCCAAGGTCAAGGCCCAAGCCTCCATTTTGCCAAGTCAACATAAAGTCAAGCGGCCCAAATTGTCATGGTCAGCCCATGATTAAGTCCAGCCCATTCATTCTCCTTGCCAAGCTAAGGTATAAAAGCCTTCAAGTACATCATTTATCATTCATACACATACAAGCCTCAAGCATTAATTCTCTTGCATAGCTTTCTCTCTCTAAACACCGTTTGACTTCGGCATCGAAGGGGCTTTCCTCGGAACCACCCCCGAGGCCAATTTACGTGTGTTTGTGTAGGGAATAAATTTCAAGCGTTAACCCCTAGCTTGAACCCCACTGTGATCATACACTAAAGTACGGTGGCGTCCAAAAGGGAGGAAGATAGAGCAAAAGAGTCGCCAACAAGTTTTAGGAACTTGTAAACCGTTCACGAGGAGAAGGTTACACCCCTTAACGATCCAAGAGATCGTCAACTCCATAAGGTCTAGAACCAAATAAGGGTTCGGGGATGAAGGTAAAAATCCAACCTAAAAGTGATTGAACCTGCCCTAATAATAGGTCTCTACTTTATTCAGATCGTATTCATGTGCGCTTTTTAACTAACATGCAATCAATAAGTTTAACCCTAAACCTGTTTATCTATGTTGGTTGAATATTAATGCACAAATAAACTATTATTGGAGATCACTTGAAATTATAATCAAATTAACCCTAACAAGATTATTAATTATCTTATTAAGCGTGATTACAAGTACCAAAAATTCCCTTTAAACATTCATAAAAGGTGATCAAGCAATAACAATAAAATATATCAAGCAACATAATAAATAATCAAAATAATAATTATCATCATAACAATCATAACAATTATAATCATAAATCATAAAGATAATCATTATAATAACAATAATAACGTTCATAATCATGTTCATGTTAATATTAAAGCATAATAAAAATAGCAAGATCCTAGGCATGATACTAACTAGATTAATAACAAACCCTAGCATGTCACTAAACAATAAAAATCAAATATTTAACCCTAACATGATACTAACATGAATAAATATTAGGAAGAACATATGAAGCATCGTAGAAATCATAATTGACATTATATTCTTTACCCTAAACATGATATTAGGAATATCATAATAACAATATAAACATGATTTCTACATCATAACACCAATTAAAACCATTAAAGTACTTACTTTGATGCCTCGTACCTCTTTCTAATAACAAAATACACACGTTGGTAACTTCAAGGAAAATAATAAACAAAACATTCAAATTAAATAATTGAAATAAATATTTGGGACCAAACCCTCAGAAATTAAACCTTTCACGTCTAGGGCGAAGGCAAATTCGAATATGGCTAGGTGTGTCTAGAACTAATGAATGCGGAATTTTGTATGTAAAAGCAAGTTTGAAAAGAGAGAGAAAGAGATGAATGAATGAAAGGGATTAAAGAGAATGAGAGAATTAAAAACTGATTGTAGGTGAATATAGATGAATGTTGATGAGAATTGGTGAATGAAAACGGATTTTTAATACGTTATTTATAGAGAAAATCATCCAAAAAGATAAATTAACAAAAAAGAGTCCTGGCGCACCAAAAACAGAGCTGGCGCCAAGCGCCAACATTAGCGCCAGGCGCCAATAGCTGGCGCCAGGCCTAGATCCAGGCGCCAATGCCTGGCGTCAGGCGCCAGGCCTGTTTTTGACGCGTTTTCGAAAATCAGATAAGTTTTGCCGTACAGGAGGATAATATTGTATATTTTCCTCAAAAATGCTCTTTGATTTTAATTAAAACTCTGAAAATTCAACAAAAGTCAATTTATCAATGCTAATTGAATTAGGAATGAAAAAAAACCTTCTAGAAGACTAAAACCATTCCTAATTGCATTAGGAATGATAAATCATATTAGGCCCTCCTCTAGATCATTGGGCCGCGTATAAGGCTCAAACCGGGCCCAGTTTAGTAAATTGGCCATAACTTCCTCAATATTCATCGGAATTGGGCTTATAATATATCGTTGGAAAGCTCTTGTCAAGCCCCATCCAACTACACTACTATTGGACCCATATCATGGACCAACCAAACTGGATTGACTGTTTTCTTAAAATAAGTTTTCAAAAACAGAGAGAAGTGAAAAGAAATTAAAACTATCCGCAACACTAGACTTTCCACACTTTCGCTTCATTCGATTGTGATTCGACGTGAAAGGTACTCATCACTGGGTTTGGTTTTTGGGGAGACACAAATAGGTGTCTACAATTTGCTGTGCAGGAAACCTTCAACCCAACATCATTTGGACCGGATTAGTCTTCATCCACCTCATTGGACCTTCGGCAAGGTCCCATTGTTTTCATCCGAAACAATTTGGCGCCGTCTGTGGGGAAGACTTTCAAAAATCTTTAAGCCAATCAAAATCATCTTACAAAAATCTTAGTAACAATGGCTAAGAATCGCAAGAACAAGCGAGTAAGTCAAGGAGCAGGTGAAAGGCCTAAGGACCCTCCTACTCCTACACCATCACCTTCTCCGGACCGAAACTCTTCTAAGGGTGCCAGCTCGGGAGAAGCATACTGGGAGGATTCCCTATCTCCCATAATTCACCAATCTCATCATAGGCCGAGCCCACCTCGGTCTAACAACAAAAGTCAGTCCGATCATAGGACTCAATTAGTGCCTCAAAGCAGACCTTTGAGTATCCACTCTCACTCTCACACTCAGCCGAGGACCCCTTTAACGGGCCCTAGCTCGGAAGAGGTGGCGAGAGCGCTGGCGGTGCACATGGAAGCGATGAAGGCACAGAGCATGCCTCCTGCTCGTGACCGACCTCCTCCTCATACCAGGCATCAGCGGAGAAAGCTCGACCAAGATGGGGGGAAACCTCCCTCCTTTACACTACTAGAAAACAGCTTAATTCCGACGGAACCGTGCCGACGGACAAGAAAATCCGTCGGTAAGTACGAAATTTCCGACGGAATTAAATTCCGTCGGAAATGTACGACGGATTTTTAATCCGTCGGAAATTATACCATTTACGACGGAAAATTCCGTCGTAAATGGTATAATTTTCGACGGAATTTAATTCCGTCGTAAATTTACGACGGAATTTAATTCCGTCGGAAATTTGCGACGGATTATAACTCGTTTCCGACGGAATTTAATTTTTTTCAAAAAAAAACAAGGAAAAAACCCCAAAACCCTAATACTTAAACGGCGCCCCACCCCCCTCATTCACAATCCTCCTCTCTCCTCCCTTTTCTCTCTTCTCACGCTCTCTGTCTCCTCCCTTTCTCTCTCCTCACGCTCTCTCTCT